TATTACCCCTATTTATAGATAAGGAAACTAACTTGTGACTTGAAGGGATTTTGGGGGATTTTTTAATGCAAAATGTTTTTACTAACAATGTAGAATGGAGTTTAAGGGCCAGAATACCTTGATTAAAATCCTAGCTCTGTTACTTAGAGCTGTGTGATTATTTGCAAGTTACTTAGCCTCCCTCTGCCATAGTCCTTTTATCTATAAAATGAAGAAAATAGAGAAATAGGATTACAGTGAGAACTACATGATTTAATATATGTAAAGCATATACAGCAATGCTAGACACATAGTAATTATCCAGTGTTAACTCTTTAAATATTTGGAATATTGTATAATTTTCCAAAGTGATTACATTTTAATGTTTCAATTGTATTACTATAATTATTTCTTGTATCTATAATAAGTTCAATCATTTCAATCAAAGCCATTGAAGATTATAAAATACAAGTATGGGTATAAGGTATTTCTGTACCATACTTTGTATCATTGAATAGGCAGTACAGATTTTAAACATGAATGTCTATTATTTTTATTATTTTGCTATTTACATAGTTAATATTTGCAACCAGCTTTAGCTTTTCTTTGTTAACATTATCTAGAGGGATGAAATATCTTAGTCAAAGCTTACACTATGCAAAATGATGACAAGTATACCTTCCCATTCTGCTGTCCACCTTGTAATTTCATTCATGTCCCTCTCCAATTCCATTAGAATCTACCTCCCTAGGTTTTCTTCTCTATCAAAACTAGTTTTCAAATTATTCCATTTATTATAATACGTGTGCTGGTTACTAAGCTGCCTTTTCAGTTGAAAATCCATTCCTCTATACTTAGATGCTATTGCTAGGACTTCACCAAAAGTATTTCTCCTTTGTCTGTTAGGCACGACCAACAGAGGGCAGTATGGAGAGAGAGGTAACTGGGGACTTGCTTTTTATACGCATGTTGTTAATGTATTGCCAACAATAGCCTAGTGGCAGTAGTGGTCCCAGTCTCCAGCTTTGTTCATTACTCCTTAGAAGCATCAGATGGGAGGTGTCCCTCCTCAGAGTTCTGAGTCCTAATTCCATGAGGCCACTCACTCTCTTGTGACTTTCTGAGATACCAGAAGCAGCGGAACAGCTCCCCCTACCAGGAAGTCTGAACTCCAACTCTGCAGGGCCCCTTCCCTAAGCGTCTAGGTTCAGCTAGCCCCAGCCTCTTCCCTCTGTTCTCCAGGGCCTGGGTATAATTACTCTCTCCGTGTTACTTAAATGTTCACTTTTTGCTTTTCCAGTCTTCCAACATCTGTTTAACCAGCTCCTTTTTAAAAAAAAAATGCCCTTTCTTGAAATGTCTGATGTAGTTTCTGATTTCTTGTCTGACCCTAACTGATCCCAAAATGCTACAAATGTTTAAAAGTGTTATACTCGTGGAAGTTTTGCAGATTTAACAAAAAATAAAAAAAGAAAGAAAAAGAAAAGAAATGAAAAGAAAAAAAAGAATGAAGGGGAATTTTGGGCAACTTTCAGTAGATAAAGAAGTTTTTGTGGGTATAGCAAAAGTTTTCCCTGCATCCAACCCCACTCCTCCAAATTACTTATACCCCACCTAGGCAGCCAGTTCTGTCCTTGGCTTAAAATCTAACATTTCCTAAAACACACCTATAGAACAACTAATAAACTTATGAATTAGGGTTGTATCGTATATTTATTATAAAGAATTAGCCAGTTTCAAGTGATGTGGCTTTAATGATAATGTATGTGAACCTTCATAGCTTGGCTTTTATCTATTGCCCACCAGATTAAGTCAACACTTTTATTTTCTGGCAACGATATTCACTCTTGAGGCTGTGTTAGTTAGTTTTGTGGTGCTATAAGGGAATACCTGAGACTGGGTAATTTATAAAGAAAAGAGGTTCATTTGGCTTGGAGTTCTGTAGGCTGCGCAAGAAGCATGGTGCCAGCATCTGCTTCTTGGTGAGGGCCTCAGGCTGCTTCCGCTCATGGCCAAACGTGAAGGGGAGCTGGCATGTGCAGAGATCACATGGCAAGAAAGAAAGCACAAGGGGTGGGAGGTGCCAGGTTCGTTTTAATTACCACTCTCTCAGGAGCAGTAACTTCCTACCACGAGAATGGCATCAAACCATTCATCAGAGATCTGCCCCCATGACCCAAAGACTTCCCACTAGCTCCCATCCCCAACATTAGAGATCAAATTTCAACATGAGGTCTGGAGGGACAAATATCCAAACTATACCATAGGCTTTCAGTTAAGATAATATCTTCTGCTGTTATTTATTTTAAAGGTCCAGTAATCATTACTAACTGCTCTGTTTGGTGGACTTGCCTGTCGATGCTGAATCTCAAGCTATGTTCCCATTCTACTCACTGTCAGCTCCATCTCTTGCCTGTTCTCTCATACCCAGCTCACACGCTGGACAAAATTTTAATTTCCCTAATGAGATTTCTTTGTCACATTTCCTCCTGTTTTGGAAATCCTTAGACATTAGGAATTGCCCCTCTGTCTATGACTTTAATCTTGTTTACCCATTCTTCAAGTTCCCTCCTCACAGTCCTGCATTTCCAGTGCTCACATTACTTGTTTTGTATGCTGTCACAATCTGTCCCATTGGCAACCCCCAGTGAACCACACCTTGTTATATGTAATCCTTGTATAGTCTGCTTTCCTGGAATCTTCGCTGGTGCTGTGACTCACAGGCAAGAAGATGTAGCAGAAGTGACTCTATGTCAGTTCTCAGCCTAAACCTTAAGAAAGGCTGGCAGCTTTCACTCTTGCCCTGAGATTGGATGAAGACAGATAAAAGTCCAGCTGCCCTAGCTGGGCCCAGCTTGCAGACATTCTGCCCTCTGAGTACGGCCACACAAATCACCACTGGCAAGACTGGCAGAAAACCATCCAGCTAAACCTAGCCCAGCTTGCAAAATAATGAACACATGAAATGGTTATTATGAACACATGAAATGGTTGTTATGTTAAGCCACTGAGTTTTGGTACAGCTCATCACACAGCAATAAATAACAAACATACACTAACTGGTCCCAGGTTGAGTCCTCTTTCCTCTTACATACTATGCAACAAGTTTATTTGTTTAGTTTAATTGCCATCTGAATCTGACCTGACCCACTCTTGCCTACAACCCCTTATTGATACCATTGTGGTGACACAGACACAACACATATACTTTTTTCATCAATACATATTGACTTATTTTGCCACTTGGACTTTTGTGTTTTGCTGCATATCTTTGCTATTTTCCAATTTTCTCACTACTATAAGATTATCATCATCCTTACTTAACTCATTTGTCTAATCTCTACTATGGATGTCTTCCTCCCTTGCTGTCTTTGTCAGGCTTCTCCAGAGAAACAGAATCAATAGGTTGTATACAGTTTATACATACAGATATGGATATATAGATAGATGTTCTGTTTCTCTGGAGAAGCCTGACAAACACAGCAAGGAAAGAAGGGAAGAATATATAGGTAGATTTATTACAAGGAATTGGCTCATAGAAACGTGGGGGTTAAGTTCCAAGATCTGCAGATTGAGTCGGCAAGCTGGGGAGACCCTGGAAGAGCCAATGTTTCAGTTGAAGTCAGAAGGCAGGAAAAATCCAATGTCCCAGTTCCAAGGCAGTCAGTAACCAGGAGTTTTCTCTTACTTGGGGGAAAGGCAGCCTTTTTCTTCTGTTTAGGCCTTCAGCTGATTGAACGAGGCCCACTCACATTAGGAAGAGCAATCTGCTTCACTAAATCTACAGATTTAATTACACTTTCATCCAAAAACACTCCCACAGAAATACTCAGAAAAAGGTTTCACCAAATACTGGTCACCCCATGGCTCAGTCAAGCTAACACGTAATAAACTCCTACACTTGCTAATGAACTAAGTGATCAGTCAAGATTTTGTCCATGGTCAACTCAAATATCTGTAATTAAGAAAGAGAACTTTGTGGTGATCAGCATTCTCCCCAAGGTTTTGTCCTCCACCATGCTGCTGCCTTGTGAACTGCACTGTTTTTCCTTTATGGAATTTTGCTCCTCTCTGTCAGGCTTTCTGCATCTTTCTGTACTGCTGGAATGGTTTCTCAGTCCTGGGCCTCTGCAGTCATGAGTAGTGCAAGTCAGCGGCAAAGCACTAGGAAAACTTAGAAGAAACCAAGAAGTGTCTTTGGAACAGTGGACTGAACAAGGAGGAGCAGGGTCGTATTAAAACATACATGTATGTGTGTGCGTGTGCATGTGTGTGTGTGTTTTATATTTTTAAACATGGACAGTGAATTTTTAAGAGTATACAGTCTTTTCCACAGGAACTGTACTAATCCAGTTAGGATACTTTCAGAAAGACTTAAGACTAGGAATCAGCAAAATGGACTTCTTCATTAAGAGTTTTTTGATTACTTTCCTTTGTTATCTGAGTCATGTCAACAGCAAGTAAAACACAAGCAAGTCTAGTGGTATAAAAAATTTTTAATTATTCAGAGATTGCTTGTATGGCTTATGAATTACCATATCTCCCTTCATATCTCACACTTCCCATATCTTTTAATATCTCCAATAAGTGTGTGGCTTCAAAAAGTGCAATTCATAACATGGGATCTTTTCAGTCTGAAAGAGACTTAGAGGCTAGCTATGGCTATTTCTTAACTTTGTGGAAATAATTTGTTTAGTTTAATTGCCATCTGAATCTGACCTGACCCACTTAAGAAGAGAAAGTTGTCTTAAGAAGAGAAAGTTGGCCAGGCACAGTGGCTCATGCCTGTAATTCCAGCACTTTGGAAGGACGAGGCAGGCAGATCACCTGAGGTCAGGAGTTCGAGACCAGCCTGGCCAACATGGTGAAAGCCCGTCTCTACTAAAAATACCAAATTTAGCCAGGCGTGGTGGTGTGCACCTGTAATCCCAGGTACTCGGGAGGCTGAGGCAGGAGAATTGCTTGAACCCGGGAGGCGGAGGTTGCAGTGAGCTGAGATCACACCACTGCACTCCAGCCTGGAAGACAAGGGCAAAACTCCGTCTCAAAAAAAAAAAAAAAAAGAGAGAGAGAAAGTAAATTGACAAGGCAATTGAATGAGTTAGTGGGACTAAAATTAGGCAATTTGTTACTTGCAAGCAGACTTACTAACACCTCTAAGGTGTTTCCAGAAAAGAATATGACAATAGTAATAAAAATAAGGTTGGATGATTATATAAGGATTTTTATTTTCTGTCTTATTCCTACTCCTTCTATAGAAAATTGGAAATTGACTTTAATGGATTGCTTTCATTCCTGAAAGAGACAGATAATGTTTCCTAATCCAGTGTCCCAGGCCTAACTGATTGATATATGTGTGTGTGTGTGTACATATATATGTGTGTGTGTGTATATATATCTTGAGATATGTAGACAGATACACTGCTGTCCATTACCTTTGAAAATGCTAATATTGACAGCATTATTTTCCTTGTTTATGAGGACAGCTGAAAAGACAGCATCCCCAGATGATCTGCCATGCTGACACATGAATAAAATGTCCTTTCAAAATGATGTCCCTTGACTCAAGTGCTGTCACTGACTGAAGCTGATATCATTCCGTGTGTCTCTGGCCAGAGTCCCTACAACACCCACAGCAAGCCAGCAGGTCCACACAGGGCATTTGCCATCATGACTGGGGAAACGTGGAACATTAGCCTCTCAGTTCACACTGGCCATGCCCTTATGCTTCAAATGTGTTTAAGGAGAAAGGAACTGAAGAAAGAGAAGAGAAGAAGCCAGGAAATGCATACAGAAAGTGATTGACTCCACAAAGAAGAATTGGAAATTAACACTGCAAAAAGTGCACTGGATTTGGATGCCTTCCTTTTGAGATGCAGGTACTAAGAATAATTACAGTCTGTCTATGATTGCCCTTATCCTGTAAAAAGAAAAATGCCAAGCAAGGTTCTTTATGACTTTACCTTTGGTGATTTATCCAGCCTTACAACACTATTTCTCACTGAATTCATCCAGCAGCAACTTCCTATCTCTAAACTCCAAATCCTACAACAGAGTGATACCCCACTACTTCTCATTGCTCTTTCACTTTCCCATGGCTTTGCATGTGATGATGCCTTTGTTTGCAACATTCTTCTGCCCTACTTTGCTTTATAAACTCAGTCTGCCAGACTCACCTCCAGTGCTCTCTGCTGCAGAAAGCTTGACTCTCTCCAGTTTGTTCTAGAAGATCTGGGGATCAGCCTTCGCAATGGCCACCAGTGATTTTTACTTTCTGATGGTAAGGTCTCCAGATGGCCTCCTCCCCCACTGAATAAAGCTGACCTGACCTATGTAATCTAGCAAAATTGTCAAATGTCTGACTTTTGAATCTAAGTCATAATAAAAGTAGTAAGTCCTACCTTGCTCTCTCTTCAATCGCTTGCTCTGGGGAAAGCCAGCTGTCATATCTTGAGATTATTCAGTCATCCCTATGGAGAAGTCAGTGTAGTAAGGCCTTGTGCCAACAACCAGCATCAACTTGCCAGCCATGTGATTGAGCCATCTTAGAAGCAAATTCTCCAGCCCCAGGCAAGCCCTCAGTTGACTGCAGCCCTGGCTGACATCTTGACTACAACCTCATAAGAGATCTCATGCCAGAATCATTCAGCTAAGCTGCTCCCAAATTCCTGACTCACAGAAACTGTGTAAGGAAATGTCTTAAGTCTGTTTAGTGCTGCTATACTAGATTACCTGAGACAGGGTAATGTATAAAGAAAAAAAGGTTTATTTGGCTCATTATTCTGATGGCTAGAATGTTCAAGATTGGGCATTTTCATCTGGTGAGGACCTCATGCTGCTTCCACTCATGGTAGAAAGTGAAGAAGGGCTGGTGTGTGTGGAGATCATATGGCAAAAGGGAAAGAGTCAGAGAGAGGGGAAGAGAAGTGGAGTGGTAGACTCTTTTTAACAATCGGCTCTCACAGAAACTAACAGAGCCAAGAACTTACTACAATGAGAATGGCACCAAGCCATTCATGCAGGATCCAGGCCAAAGACCCAAACATCTCCCATTACTGGGGACCAAACATTGGGGACCAAATTTCAACATGAAGTGTGGAGACGACAAACATCCAAACCATAGCAAATAAATACTGATTGCTGTTTTAAGCCTCCATGTTTTGGAGTGATTTCTTATGCAGCAATAGATACAGGGTCTGTCCTACATTTTTCCACAGTATCCTACATTTCCCTCCATCAAAACCTATTTCCCTCTGTCTATTTACTTCTCTGTCTCTTCCACTAGCCTGACATCATCTTGAGAGCAGAGACATGGCAATCCATCTTTCAATTTATAGAGCTTCAGTGGCCCCAGAAAGGGCAACAGTTGTACAAGCTGTGCACCTCCTCAAAGGTGCCTGTCCAGTGTACACAAGTAAATGGAGGCTGAAGTCCAACTCTCATTTGCCCAACAAGTTGAAGGTCTTGGTGAGGGCTGCCGTCACTGGCAGAGGGAGGCATTTATTGTTTTGCACAAAAGCACCTTTACTCAGTAAATCTTGTCAATGGCCACTATTCTAATTCATTCACTGTGTCAGTCAAGGTTCATTCAGGAGACAGAAACCATAAATAAGTAGAATAATTAACTACACCAGTAGATTGAAGGAACAGAGGGTTAGCTACTAAGCATCAAAGGAACTCTAAACAATACAAGGATAACAGATTTAGGGAGCAGACACTATCTCTAGGACACAGGCAAAGCACCCAAATAAGGAATAAATTAGACAAAAGACCCCTGCCTACCAGGGCTGAGATACAGGCTTTATTATAGAGAGGATGGTAGGGTCCACTGAATGTAGACAAGTTTGCTGAAGTGTGGCAAGAGCCGAACTTGCTGGGAAGCCCTCTTTTGGAAAGCTGGGGGAAGATGCCAATGCAGGGGTGCCATAGATGCCAAAAGAGCACACACTCGAATGAGGAAGAGAAGCTCCTTCTTCCTCCAGTGCCCTCTATTGACAGTTTAACTTAGTGTCAGTTGGCAAGTGAAAAATTCTCCAGTATCATTAGCAGGACGATGAAGAAAGGATTAGCGGCTGAGTGGATTGATAACTGGCACATACCACTAGAAATCAGCCTTTTCCTAGTATGTCCATCCAGAAGGAATGTCCTTTCCAGACTTTCCCAAAGGTACTCTATGGACCTGGTGGGTTTTTTTTTTAGAGTCATAAAAACAAGGTTTGGGCTACCAGTTGCTCCAGGGTTGTTCTTAGTCAAGTTCGCTCTTAGCAAACTGTTTTATTTGGATGATGGCTCTCAAAAAGACAATTTGTGTTAACATAATCTCCTAGCTATTTCTATTGACCATGCTTCCAACCTGAACTCAGTAGCCACTTGGTACTACTCCATGTCTCACTTCTGACTGAGTTCACCTACATGGCAACTGATTTCCTAGGCTGGTGGTTCCCTTTCTGATAACACAGCAGCCTGTATTTTCTGAGCATTGATGTCAACGGAACACCTGGACAACTTGTTCTTACAAATGTGGTCCTTGCAACTGATGTTATGTATGTCAAGTAAGTGTGACAGATAAAACACAAAACCCTTCCCAGTGCTGGATCTGATGAGGATACAGGACTTCTGTCATTTTGAGACTGACTGGCTGTTACAAGCAGTTTGGCTTACAATATCTGTCAGAGAGAGGTGATATTTTATGACATCAAATCACAATAGAATCTCCACTAAAAGGGATATAATCATAATAGAAACTTGCATAGAGTTACACAGCATGAAACGCCTGGCTTGTCATCTCCTCCTATTTGTAATATCTTTCTATGAAATTAAATGATAGCATTACTAAAAAACACCTAGCAGTCTGTTTATCCTGCTGCTCTGAAGAAATATGCTAACTATATGTAGAAGGGAAACGTTCGATTTCCAATGAATTAAGGATAGAACTAAGGTCAGTTAATTCGGTCAACATTTATTGAGTGGGGTGAAGTTACAAAGAAAGAAGATATGATATACTTACATATATACTTATTATATATGTAAAACCTAATATTTCCGATTAGAGTATAATAGTCCTCTATTAGATTCCATACACTTCACTTTCAAAAATTATTTCTCCTCTTTTCTCTAATATTTAGATATTAAATGAAAGCAGAAAATTGGAAGAGCTGCACCCTATGACGACCTGGATTTTGTTGCGCATCAGTATAAACAAGCCTTGAGAGGGACATACTCATTTACTGAAAAATCGAGGAAAAAGTAAACAGTTGGAAAGTAAATTTAAATCTAGTACTATTAAAATGTCTTTCCTCAACAATTCCTATATTCTAGAAAAGTGTCACACAAAAGTCTATGAAAAACCTTTGAGTGCATTGCTGTATTTCTTGGAGAAATGCTGAAAAAATAAGATTTGCAAGCAAATAAGAGGTAAAGGGCCTAATAATCATTACTTTTGAGAGAGGAAAAACAGACAGCTATTGTAAGTCAAATGTACTAATGATGTCTTTCCACAGAACTTAAAGAATACTGTTGGTTGGTACCAATCCAAAGAATGTAGGAATTATGCTGTTGAGAAAGGTAAGAGGTCAGAGGCATAATGATGATAATAAAAATGATAATTAATGCAAACATTCCCTGAACTCTTTCAGTGAGCCAGCCACTGTTCTAAGCCTATGAGGTGGGTACTCTTGTCAGCTGGCCTGACTCCATTTTTAACCACACTGCCTCTCCGCACATTTCCCCAACTGAAAATAGAGACACATTTTAACATGTTAACATAATTCTGCAAGAGTTAAAATTTCTATTTGTTTTAACCTATAAAACACAGAACCCAGAGCTGCTATAATTTTACTGAATAAACAGAAATGAAGGAAAACAAACATTTTTAAAAGATGCTTGTAGTAGGCCAGTTAACATATACTCTCTTGTTAAAAGCCATTCCCGATCTTGTCGGTAGTGAGCAGTACTTGGCCTCTTTTTTTACCCTTTGTCAATCTTGCCTTCTGCTAATAGTATCAATACTGGGGGTAAAGGAGGATAGAGGTTTTGGGAGGCTGTGAATGAACACGTGTTTTGATGTAACTATTCAGAGTGGTTTGGTTTGACACAGAACAGGAGCCCCTCAAAGAAGAATCATAATTCTTAAGCATAATTTGGTTGTATTTAACAGAAACTTGCTCAAACATGGTTAAGAATAAATTTTAAAAGGTTTTAGTAGAAGGCCATAGGGGTTTCCCATGAAACTCCATCACAAGTAGTACATCAGGCCTCCTGCAGACAAGAGCTGAGGAGTAAAATGTTGACAACTGCGTTTGCTCTTTCCTTCTCTGGCTCCTCACTTCCACTGCCCTCTATGGTAGTCCTTCCCTGGGTCAGCCAATGGCCTCTTCTGCTTGCTCAGGTGCCTCTGGGTCACCCCAAGCCTGAGATAAGTCCCACAGGAAAAGAAATGTTTGGCACAATCTAGACTTTGTATAATATGATCCACCCTTAGATCCAATTTCCTGTGGTCTGAGAAGAAGGGTCATAGTCAGAAACTACAAAGGTGGACTGTAATGGCTCACCTTAGGGCTGGTGAGGGTTTGGGGGCAGGGACAGGGGTCCCAAAGGTTTTGTAGACAAATTAACCTGTTTCTACTCTACATCAAAACTAGGAGGTAGCTGCTATACTCCTTCCCCGGGGACCTTAAGTAAGGTGCTTGACCACTCTGTGCCTTAATTTCCTCATCTGTGAAATGGGGATAGTAAGGTGATTTTATTTATTTATTTTTTGCTTTTGTGAGGATTATAAATTTGAATTCACATGACATGCTTAGAATACAATACATTTTTCCTATTATTATTGTTCTTATTTCTTGTTATTATCTGAGATCAACTCCTAACACATATAAGTTCAAGAACCGAAAATATCTGAAGAGATTCAACACCATTCACCCCACTTTCTTATTTTACTGGCTATTTCTCATTTCATACATGAAAACATATCTAGGATTCCATGGATTTGGGGGTAAAATTACTTAAAGATTCCAGAATGAGAGGAATAGAAGGTTCAACTTAAAAAAAAAATCATTTTAGGTTGCTCACACTTTCTCTGCACTCTTTAGGAATAAATAAAAAATTCTGTGGTTGGAGAACAATGGAAAGTTTTTGGATTCCAAAGAGGAATGTGGAGAAATGAGCTTTGGGCAGTGGTCCTTAAGTTGGTTGAACTATTGTTATGAAACTGGTCAGTCAATTAGTTCTAGCAACCACTTTCACTGGCTTTTCCATTTAATTGTCTGGTCTGTTGACCACTGTAGGAACACTCTGGAATGTGGGCATTATTGAACAAAGCAAGACAATGTGCCCACTAAAATAGATCGCAATGAAAGAAATAAGGCCCTGCTGGGAACTGGTTTTAAATAAACTGCCCCATTTTGGCTTTATTTTCAAACCTTCATCATTTGGGGTTAAAATATCTAGAATAAAATATCATTTTGTCACC